AAAGATGTGTGTGGTTGGGTGCATATTTGCTACATCATGGGGACCATTTTCCAGATAAACACAGCTTGTGGCAAATCAGTGCTCCTTATGGGGACCCAAGCCTGGTCCCCATGTGTACAGATGCCCATTTTGGGTGGGGGACTAGGTTTAGAACCAAGATGTGGATTGAGTTTAGGCTGTTAGATACATACTGGGGTAGTTAGGGTTTGTATGAGTTGTACTGTAAAAATGACTGAAAAATGGATGGAAGTCAATCCAAAGTGCCCAAAAAAACCCCAAAAAACGTGAGTATTTTCTAATTACAGCAATGAAACTGCAAAGTTTCTGCCTTCTGACACTCTGAACACCTGATCTATTTGGATGTGATTTTTTTTTTCTATTTGATTTTCCTTTTTTTTCCAGGTTCAACACAATTTTTTTCTGTTTCAAATCTTTCCTTTTTAAAGTAATTTTATGGCCCTAATGTAGCTCCACAATTTGAGTTTTACTTTTTGTGATTTGATTTTGAAAAGCGGCACACCACAGAACATTTTGAAGTTGGCTTCAGAGGCAACGTTGTGAACAATTAACATCTTACCTGTTGTAGATCGCACTCAAAAGGACCAAAATAGCTTTTCCAATAGATAAGCTGAGGACTAATTGAAACAAAATGTCTCTAAAATGTCATAATTCTTGATTTGAACACTGTTTTATAAACTTTTACACTGCTGTCAGTTTTGTAAAATGTGGTTATTCCTGCAGGAAGTGCCCCAGGTTGTTTTTAACTTCCGAAAAAAGAAATGTTCCTCTTGAGTGATGAACTCTAAATAGTTGAGAAATGTCTCTAACTGTTTTCAGATTGATGGGCAGCAACAGTTGCTTCTGTGTGATCATGGCTGATGTCTTTCCATCTTGGCATCATGTCGACACACCTGTAGGCAGAAGAGCAAGCTGACAAATCAGACCATTTTTTAAAATATAATTATTTTTATTTCACAAAAATAAGCGCTGCACTCACAAACACACATCTCAGCCTCCCACCGTGGGTTTTGGCAGCGTAAGGCTTTGAGACCAGCACGGCTCTTCTATCATCCACTCTCTCAGAAGTTTTTTTTTTTCATCCTCTTATTTATTTATTTTTCTTCTCTCCCTTGCAAAACAGAATTCATGACCTGCCAGCCTTTTTGCTGACTGCATACAGCGTCCGCTGCCTTGGTAAACGATTTTCCGGGCTATTTTAGCTGCCTCACAAAACACTTGATGACACAAGTGGCATGAAAAGCAACGCGACTCAATTTGTCAGTGGTTGTTGCTTTGCTGCGCAGACGTTTCCAGAAAAGGTGTTGATTGTCTGCACTTCCTGTCGAGCCGCGTTTGACTGTAAAAGTCAAACAAATCTGTTTAACCCTTTGTCCCTTTTTGGCTTCTTGGTAAACATCCTCTGTCATCATCATCGCTGCTGAGTGGGAAGCCTTGATGTTTTTGTCCTGG